ACATTAGTTCCACTCTTCTCAGTCCCGGGCTTGGTTAGAAGGCTGATGCATGTTTCCACGCAAGGTGATTGGTGCACCAACAAAATCGGAAAAATTTTCACAATCTAAACATCACCGTTTGGTAGTTAGGAATGTGATTTTAAAATTTCACTCATATCTGTTCAGTAATTTGGAAGAAATTCCTCGATCACTGCGAATTTCGGCTCGTATCGTCATATAACTCACGATTGAAGGAAAAATTTTCACGAGCCAAACGTCGCCGGTATGTACTAATGAATAAGTGTACCAAGTTCTATCGAGCTGCGTTCATTAATTTGGGATATATTCCTTGATAATTGAAGTTGGAGACCGGCCATAAAATTGTCCGAGATGTATATTACGTTTTTTTTATTTTTGTGCCAACAGGAAGTAACTTTAACATTCATATAATAAAGAGTTATCCATGAGGTCACTCTTACGACCTCATTTGCGTAATAAATTCACTGTCATGCCGCGACGTCACTAAAACTAAACTAAATACATGCCGCGACGTCACTAAAAATAGCAAGTTTTAATTTTATTTGCATTTTGCAGAATTCAAATGTTCATTTTGCTAACCTCTTAGTAGCAGTTGTTTGCAGTGCTGTAGGCATAATCTGTTCGTGATCATATGATTTACTGTGGCTCTGAATTTTTTAAGATTACTGTAAACTAACATAAATATCTTAAATCAGAATCACTTCAAAATCCGTTGTCGTGACAGGAGAATAGTTTGCTTTCAACATCGCGGAAGGCTTAAATCCTCTACCAGTCTACCGCCTAACACGAGTACCGGCAACCTGGCGATCCGCGGCCTGGTGGTGCACGGCAGGTGGTGGTCAAGGCCGTAAGAGGACAAAGCCGAGTGGTGCACGGCTGATTGGTGTAGGTCCGGAGAGATCCAAGGCGTTCGATTCAGGGCTCATTGGTGCACAAAATTGGTGGTGTACGGCTGCGCTCCCGTCTCAAGACTTCCCAAAAAGTATCCGTTACCAGTGAGCGAAAAATGACTTGCACCGATAGTTACCGCCACGTACGACAATTTTAAAATGTTCTCTGTTGCGTACAAACGTCCTCTGGGTGCTGCACGTATAATTTAAGTTGAAATTTATGCTCCCGGAGAGTGCCAAACGGCGGTGTTATAGGGTTAAATAACAGAAAGAAACTGAACGAAAGCGGAACCATGACAATAAAATTCAGGAAAGAAACTTCATCTGAATTGTGATCGTTGAACATTAATTTCTGGGACTTCAGCTCATTAAAATGAAACTAGAATTGGAAAATTATTGGCTAGGCTCTATTATTGTAGCTATAGGCATTGAACGAACCTATTTGCAGAGGTGGGCAGTAGCGCGCTACATGTAGCGGCCGCTACTAGCGGCCGCTACATTTTCAGTAACATGCACATATTAAAAAAAGGCATCTAGAGTCGCTAGGTATTGTTTTCACAAATCGAATGGTATGTCTCTCATTGGCGTAGCTTGAAAACTGTAGGATTAATTATTTTTTTAAGAAGGCGTTTTTTGGATTTTTAAATTGTTCGGGGTGAACCAAATAAAGTAAAATTCATTTAAAACAGAAAAATAAGCCCAAAAAGTCTTGATATTGTAGCCCAAGCTTTTCCATTGCCAATTATTTGCATTCGAGGTACCAGCACGCGTCTATTTCTATTTCAATTTAACGCGAATAATAGGCTATAAATGGGACTTTTGATATATAAATATATATATTTAAAATATTCATTTTACATAACTTTACAACTGCATTACGCAAAAACTATTGCATGAACATACATGGTAGTAGCTTTGTTAAACGCGTCTTGTTTGTAGCTTTCAAACGAGTGCAAACACTTTGCAAATAACCTAAATGACATATAAATACCATTTATTTGTAAATAATGATATAAAATGATCATTTTATGAAAGTTCAAGACTGCATTACACAAAAAGTATTGCATGTACATCTATAGTAGTAGCTTTGTTGAACGCGTCTCGTTTGTAGCTTTAGAACGAGTGCAAACACTTTGTAATTAACGAGAGTAATGATCTATATATACAGATTTAATTCAAATAAATCTTTGTAAATATTGTTAAAAAATGTTAATATATATATTTTTAAAATTGTCTTACGCAATAATTATAGCACGCACAGACATGCGGTAAACTGCGTTAGACGCGCCTTTTCAGCAGCTACAAAATGAGTCAAGAAAACGGTAAAGCCAAAATTTCCAATTTTTAGGGTGGCCGGTCCCCTTAATAGTATTAAATATTATTTAAAAACCAGCATCATACATACATAATATAAATTACAGAATAAAACTGTACGAAAGATTTCGGTGTAATGTTGTCAACCTCAGCCTGTTACTAGTGTCAACATGTTAGTTGTTACTTGTCAAGTTGTTACCAGTTACCACTTACAGGTTTTTTCATCTTTCAGTTTGCTTACAGTTATTTTTACACAGTTATTTTTATGTTTCACCTTCCCTACATGGATGTTTACTTTAATCTACCAATCTCAAAAATAATCCACATGTATATACAAAAAAAGACTGATTTTTATATGTATATGTGGATAATTTCTTAGATTGGTAGATTAAAGTTCACATCCATGTAGGTAAGGTAAAACATATAAATGACTGTAACTTTTATTTACTGTATCTAATCCTGGGGTAACCCATACTAGTTCGGTTAGGTTAATTGCAATAAAGTTGCATTGATATGTTTTAAAAATGTTTTATTATCATTAAATGGTAATGAGTAAATCCCAATAGCAGAACAATAAATATTTAGAGATTTTCCATTAATTTGGCCATTGTAGCGGCTAATGTAGCGCGCTACATTTTTCTGTAGCGGTAGCGGAAGCGCCCGTTACAATCTAGTGGGTGTAGCGGTAGCGGTAGCGCCCGCTACATTTAGAGCATGTAGCGGTAGCGCCGCTACATTTCCAAGTAGCGCTGCCCAGCTCTGCCTATTTGACACAGGACGCTTCGTTCAGTTCATCCATTTATAGGAAGAAACCTTCAGAATTTCTTTGTCTTATAATTTATATCGTAATGTATATATTTTTGCATGTATATTGATGCACAATTGTATAAATATACTATTTGAAATCAGGGTTGAGTTGCAATATTGCAGAGGGCCAAAGCCAAACATGGATACATTTTGTGCATGCATTTTGTGGAATATTGTGTTGTCAGATAATAGGTTGCTTTCAAAATGTCTAACTTGCACTTTCTATACACTGCCCCGAATTTGGACTAATTCAGACTTTAGTTCATAAACTCATAAGATCTCTGTTTTGAAGTTGTTCACTAAGATATATATTTTGCAATGTTTCTCGAATTTCTATTTTTCAGTTCCTGTCCGGTGGACCGTGGATAAATTCTATGGCCAACCTGCGCCAAGAGGGGGCAAGAATTGCTGAGCTACTTACCGAACTGACGATGGTGAAGAACCAGACAATATGAATTACATCGACCCTCCTGACAATGCTACAGAAATACTCACTGATGAAGAATCTGGGGATGAAGAATCAGGAAATATCAATAACTTACCAGGAACTTGCAGGAAGCATGCTTACGGCTGCAGTTGTTGATTCAAATACTTTTCCCTAGTTACACGTTAAAAATGAGAATCAAGGACTATGCAAGAAAAAAAAAAACAAGAAGCTATCTAAGATGTTTGAAAATATGAAGAAGCGTGATATTGCGTGCAGAATGCCGGAATGGACGAATGCATATATAGAAAATCTCCATGGGGATAGCTTCTCTCTGGTAGAATTTTTTTTAACTTTTTTTTTTGACGAAGATTTGTTTGACGTTATTGTTCACGAAGCCAAAGGTGCGCATCTCAGAGAAATAGAGAGCTCAGGGTCACAGAAGAGATGAAAGTAATTTTTGGTGTCTTAATCAGTGGCTATGTCCCCTATACGTAGACTGTTTAGGAAACTGGACGTGATACGCGCCACGATATGGTGCCTTTTGCTGTATAAAGGGATAGATTCGTATCAATTTTTATGAATCAGCATTTCACGGATAATCATACGCTGTTACAGTCATAAAGATGCTGAGAAGCTCGATCTGCTAGCGTTTCGTAGACGAGTTGCGACTAATTATCTTGAACACTACGCAAGACCTCCACAGCCAGGTTGCAAAAGCCGTCCTGCTGCTATAGAAACAGCTACCTACAGTTTGACGTCTATCATCGGAACAATCCTCAAGATTCGACACTTCAATCCTCAAGATTCGACACTTCAGCGAACTCGCCTGCGAGCTCGAATGCAAAACCTAACTTCATTTTTAACTCTGGCACTCATAACTCCTTCAATTGCGAACAGATTTTATTCAAATTTGAAATATAAGTAGATAATAATCAGTAAAAATTCCCCCCGCAAAATACTGATATTATCTACTTATATTTCAAATTTGAATAAAATCCGTTCATTATTGAAGGATTTATGAGTGCCAGAGTTGATAATGAAGTTAGGTTTTGCATTCGAGCTCGCAGGCGAGTTCGCTGAAGTGTCGAATCGGCCTCAAGACAAGAGGACGCGCAGTGCACACTGTCACCAGAAGATAATCCTTTCCTTTATCACACCTTGTCAAGCTGTGCAACTAACCGGTAGGTGTGATAAAATGATTACGTGTCAAGTGCTTCATAAACTTCCACGCAAAGTAGGTGTGTGGACTAATCTTTCTGTTTTAAAGCTTGGTCAATTTTGTTCCGTATTGCCTGGCGTCCTATATGTAGAACACCTTATATTTCCAGCTGCTTTTCTTGAATTTACTGGATACATTTTTCAATTGTATCTCCATGAAGCCATTTCATCAGTTTTTTCATTGTACAAGCAATTTTTCTCACCTTCGGCATAACTAGGTTAACTATGATTTCATAAAGCCATTGCTAAGTTTTATTGGCATTCGCCAGAAACTTCAGTGACGGCACAATAAGTATGCGAAAACCAGAGGGATAAAAAAAAGCTTCGAGTTTTAATAGATCCACAATTAAATTTGTTGTTTACATCGCTGATATGAAGGAAAACTCACCCTGGATAGGATATTTCATATCAATATTGAAAGAACGACAGTAGCAGAAGAAAATTGAATTTTCAGGAGGCATAATCCCGCGGAGCCAAAGCCCGTGCGGATTTACCATAACGATGAATAGGGCAGTATATAGAGCTGGCTACGTCACGTAGGACAACTATTTGAGCTATAGAATATACTTTCGATAAGTTATATACGCATGGATACTACACGTACACAAAATTTGCATCATATGTACCAACAGCGAAATATGCAAAAGAATTCATCGAGCAGCGGAGCCGCAACTTATCAACTACCATACGCCACAGCAAACAAGAACAAAGAACCTCTTGCTATCTATTTAGAAAACAGACACCACAGCCCCCAAGGAGGGAAATTTATCACGACTATTTACATCTATGAGTAGCAGCTGCGCCAGTTAAGAAGTTTTCATCACACAATCTAGAGTATAATAGAGGTTGTTCATTGACACGTTGTGCTCTCCAGCTATTACTGTTATATGCATGGTATTATGTGGGATACAACTACTTTCAAATACTATAAAGCGCTGAAGGCGGCTCACTACCTACTACAGAGCCCCAGCATATCTCCCGCAGCTACTGCTCATAACGTGAGATGTAACAAAAATCAAACAAATTGGATTTTTAAATTAAAAAAAAACGATAGGCGAACTCAAAGATCTGGTACAGTGAAAGGAATGAATTATAGCACAGAAATACAGATTCTAAGTTATTCATAGTAATTATCACGAGGTTCACGAGTTTTTATGAAATCTGCTGATTTCTTGACACAATACCAACTTAATTTTGGGAAAATTCTAGATAGTGAATGACGTCTTCAAAATGATAATACGACTTCGTATCATAGACCTAATTTCCACGCCCATGTCCAGCATCATTATCCAAACAAATCATTGATAAGGACTAAGAAAATAGTCGAAGCATCAGATAAGCTGACAGCTTTAAATAGCAGACTATTAACTATTTTCAATTAAAAGTTTAGAAGTTAGATTAGAAATTAAATTGCTTCTCTTTTTTTTTGTCTCATTCATCAATATGAACAGCAACTGCAGTCAACGTCAATAGCAAATATTTTTGCCAAAGTTAGTTAGTGTTATCAGTTAGTTGAATCATTGCATTAACACCGATAATAATTTCAAGGTTTTTCCATCGTTGACTTTTTTCCTAGTTGGAAACGAGGTGATTATATGTAATTTCGCAATTAGTATTATTATACGAAGTTAGTAATGCATTTTGGTCCGCTAGTCAACCTTGAAGGCGTATCAAATAATAGAAGGACAATGCCTAATTAATGCCAGACTAAGAAAGAAGTTGTAATTATCGATGAGCATAAAATCTCAACATTCACAATTGGAGAACGAGTATTTTACCCTAACATAAGCTTCGTATAATGTGAGAGCGAGTGCAAGAAGTTCATGCACAAAAACTGCCCAATATCAAATGAAGGAGAGCGGTGAGCTCAAAGCTCAATGAAATGCGATCATTATTAGTTATGCAATTGAACGAGAGTAAAATTAATATTTTCGCGGCCTGATTGGATAGGGAGTATTATTTGTTTGTACTATATCCCAATCGAATTCAATGAAATCAAGTGCAGAATTATGCAAGTGACCTTACCAAAGGCGGTGAACAAAACTGAACAAAACAATACGTGATTTTACGATGCTTGAAATGACACTAATAAACCATTTAAGACAGAGATCACTGTTCTGATGATGATGATATCTTAGTTTAGATGGAAGCCCTTCTCTTTGGTGGCTGCGAGGAGACGTTCTCGCATAATATCTTCAGATGAGTAGTCTGGCAACTTGAGGTAATGCACACAAGTGTTCACACTCGGGTATGAACCGTCACCCGCGTCAACCTTAGAAAAACGGATACACATTGAAGATGTAAATACCTCCACTCTTGCTTCAAATTTACGGTAACATCATGTTGGACTTTCAATCTAATTAATTTACAGATAAGGAAAGAATATAACTCAGTACTCACAGTAGTGAGTGACAGCGAGCGCATTTTCTCGTCGACGAAAACGTTAAGTCACGGACGGACAGACAGACGGACACGGCGAGCACAATAGTGCATTTTTTCCATAAATGAGAAAATGCGCTAAAAAGAGTGCAGCTAACAAGGATTTTAAACAATGTCAAGTTCAAAACAGTTAAGTACGCTACGATATTTTATCAGAAAAAAAAAATTTCGGAATATAGGTATTTACAATGCAAAGTACATTTAGGAAAGTTGTTGCATACTAAAGCTGTAAAAACCAAATTTAATTTAAAAATTCTATATTCTGAACAAAAATTTGGCTATACTATACATGAAGGCTTTTAACAAATTTCAGATCTTCCTATTCCAGGGATGTCTTATAAACGAATTTAGCTCCAAATTTTTGGGATTTCACAGCTTGAATCTGTAGGAACAATATTTTTCGAATATGTATTACCAAGACACAAATGAAGACCACTGAACTTAATGAATCACAAACCATAACGCAATGGATACTCGACTGACGCTACACGAGTCTCACCTTCCTGACGACGGTGAGGCGAGGGTATAGGTTGGCAAGACCGCCAGGAGGAAGGGTCGAGCTGCCCGTGGTGAACTGCAAGAAAGCTTTACGCTGCTCTCCTGTCAGGCCCACAAGGACGTTTACGAGCCGCAGGAATGCAGGGGATTCGCGCCTGTTGAAAATACATAAAAATATCAAAAATTAGCGCATGGACACGAGACTGTCTCACTTTCTCGGCACGTTGACCGCGGCAAACTTCTTTAAGTTTAGCAAACAAATCGATATGTGCATATGAAGTTCACAATAGGATTTAGTGTTGGATATGAATAACTTGAAGTCATTCAACTTTAGTTTATTACACTTAAAACTTAAGTGACATGAATATTAAAAAAAAACAGTGTGCAGAAATGAAAAGAAATGCTCGAGGATGCAGACACAAAATGGAAAGACTGCTGGCTTACAAATGAAGGAGTGCGATGTCATAATAAACCAAATTTAATAAAATGCTTACGTATATCCGAGTTTTGGGTCTGTGTGCTGGAGGATGTGTTCTCTGGTCCATTGGGGTGACTGTTCTCCGCACAGCAACAATCGAAGCTCTTCGGGGCTGAATGCTCCCAGCTTGCTCATAGGGAACACCTTCGAAGATAAAAAATCTCGTAAGTACATTTGAACCAAGTTAGTGTCTCCAATTTTTTTTTTATAGACCTCATTGAGTCTAAAAACGAGTTTTTAAAAATTAACCTTGATGAAACAGGATTGGTAAGACCGATCAAAACTTTCGTATTTATTGACGCATACAAGCTTCATATATCAATTGAAACTAGTTTATTGTCAATACTTAGTTACCGATTAAAACCACTTAAACAACAGGCGCCAAATAATAATGACGTTTCGACAAAGCAAAGACGCCGATGACAGCAAACAAAACGAACGGTTGTTCACCATAACCCAATTGATGAAAAATCCGTTTTATGGAGCGAATTTTGGTATTTCTGCACGAAAAAATTATGCAGAACAACACAGGCAAAGAGGAAACGTAGTTCTAATGAGTGAAGAAATTTGAATTTATTGCATGGTGCAATGAAGAGTTTGATCAAACCTTGCAGAAGCCATCGCTGAATGCCTCCATTTGTCTCTTGATGCCTGAACGAAGAATCCATTTGAGGGTAAGGGATAGGTAGTCGTCAAGCGTATCGATCGTGAGGTCAATCATACTACCGCCTGGCACAAGATCCACCGAGGAGTAACCGAGGTGTTTCGAAGGAGACAGATATTCTAAGCTGAGACACAGATCTTCAAGTCGGGCTGCAGGAGGAGGAGGATCCAAAGGATGACTTTTGGGAGGAGGAGGTAGAGTTAGATTGGCGAGCTGGTGAGTGCGCTGTTGAGGCGTGAGACGAGGATCGGCGAGAATGGCGTGCTTAGTAGCAGCCAACGTGCCAAGTTGCTGCAGGAATTGCCCATACTCGCCGTACACCTCGGTAATGTCGTCCAACGACAGGATCCCGCTAAACCTGAAATTACAAACAACATTTTGAGAAAATTTCACTTACATTTCCCTTTGTTTATGGCACTGCGAAATGATTCAAAAAAAAATTACTCGAGATTCAATCAGAGTTCCAATAGAAGTGTCTAATTATTTTCACACAAGAAAATACCCCTCGCCCAACACTCACCAAGGATCGGTATCTTGCTGCATGCGATCTCTAACGCTTCGGTCACTGAGATCGCCACGCCCACTAAATTCAACTCCGTCGTCACTGATCATCGATGAGGCCATAGAAGATGTCACCGACGACGAGATAGAATCCATGCTGGCGCTTAGACTCGAGCTGTTGGAATCATGTTTCAGTTTTAACTCCTGTAAAACAGACCGGTCCTTGACGTAGCCAAACTCGCCTTGGCACATGAATTTTAAGAAGGGCCTTGAAAGAGGAATGTCCACGAGCATGTTGTCTTGAAGAGCTTTAGCAAGGAACACTCCAAGGAAGTGAAAGAGCGTAACTGCGCGGTCACACTGTACACTGTCCTGAGGTAGAGGAGCAGGGAAAAGACCACCTTTACGACGCACGTAATATCCAGGAGGTTTACTCTCGCCCTGTTCGCTGCTCAACGTCTCCAAGTGGGGCGTGTCCTCGTGCAATTGAGTCAAGTCATCGGAGGGTGAGAATTGCACTGCCATTTCCATGGTGCTGGGGCCCACGTCTTCCTCAAGCGGGCAGTCATCCTCATCCCGGACGAGCGCATGAGCGTGGAGCACTGCATGCGCATGGTCGTGAATGGCCTGCGCGTGATGCTGTTGAGGATGTACGTGGTGAGGCGTGGGAGTCAATGGTGGGTCATCACACAACCACATGGCAAGATCGCACCTCTGCAGTTCGCCAGCTACTAACGCGTAGAACTCCAGCGTTGGACCGAGGCCAGTACCTTCTTCATCCTTGAACTCCACTTCCAGGATGCTCTTGCGGCGGCAGTGCACTGCCATAACCTGGGCGCAGAGATTCGGTAATTTATAATAACAGTTCCTATCATTTGTATTCTTGGCGGAATATGTTCACCGATAAATTTAAATTCAGATAATTAATACTAGGAAGAATTTGCGAGAAAAATTATTGCACTCTTATTAGACTGCATAGGTAAAACTGTGCCTACACTCGGTACGATAATAACATAAAACTATGCTGTCTGACAAGAGTTAACGATATTAAGCAGCTATACATGCATTCAGTTACGAGGAATTATCATATGACGTACTTGCATGGCCCACTTGAGTAGATCAGGTCCTCTGGGGACGGTGACGCGTTCATGCTTGAGACGCCCCACGCGGTAGTCGTGAGGGTCGTCGCGACGATGCGACACAGACGCGCTGCTGCCACCACTAGCGACCACTCCCGTGCGTCGTTCAGTTGCTGCACGAACATAACAAACGAAAACAGAGTACAATATTAGTACTTCATACGTTTCATCACGTACTCAATCTTGGATCCTATTTAGCATACTAGAGGGTGCTTTATTAATTTCATAAATACAAGTGATCATGCCACTTACAAAATAAAGATATTCAAATTTTAAATCCAAATATTTATTTAGCACATCTTATTTTAATTGAATAAGAAAGATCATGGAACTCACCTGAGCCGCCTTCCCGTTTGGCTTGCAGCCACACCAGAGAGCGCACAGGACCAAAGGCGGTAGTGGTGAGGTACTGCATGCGAGTATCAAAATCAAAGAGCATTGGCGTGCCATAGTTCAGGTCTTCGCACCACGACGGCAGAGCACTACAGGCCAACGACAGTGACTCGTTGATTTGCTGACTCAATTTATTTGCTATCTTCTTAGATTCAAACTCCTCTCTCCGCACGATCAACTTGGGTTTCTCCACAGCACGCTCGTCGATTTCGTGTTCATTGGACATGACGTACAAGTGACGCAGAAGCTGCAGGACTTGTTCCACCGTAGTTTCCAAAGTGCCCGCATATTGTGCGGAAGGTTTGGCGTCAGCCATTGAGTAGCAAGAGCCGGGAGCAGGGGATAGAATAGAAGTACGGCATGGACGTCGAGTTGAGGAAGTAGTTGAAGCCAGAGGATCGTAAGTATTTTCTGCGCCTTCGCTGTACACTAAACTGTAAACAAAGAGAAGAAATTGACAATGAACATACACAAGTAGTGAATGAGATGACTAAAAAGAAGAAATATAGAGCACCTTCGTTATCTAGAAATGATACGAATAGTTTGAACACGTTACCGTGAATGAGTGCCAAAATTTTTGGAATGGATTGAATTTATTAAGATTAATAGATGAATAATGAAAAAAGTCTTAACCGCATGAATGCATCTCTATAAATTGTTCGAGGGAATTGATACTTACACGTATGTCGGCTCCCAAATCCTGCGTAGTTTCTCTTGCCGTGATTGGAAGGGTACACAGTTCATTAGGTTCTGTACAGCTGCAAATATCGTGGTGTCAGGGGCGCTGGCGAGACACTGCGAAGGTTCCAACAGAGGTACAGGGTCGGTATATGCAACTCCACCTCGCGGAGGACATGAGCTACCGTCCGCGATGGCAGAAAAAGGCCGTGACGAGAGAGGCGTCGTGGCGGCGCCAGAGGCAGATGTAACAGGCATTGCGGATGCCGGCATTTCAAAGGCGTAGGACGAGACATCTTTAAACGAAGCGTCGGTAAAATCATGAGCAATATTTGTAGGAGTTGTGTTTGCTGATGACTTGTTCGAGCTTATGCCGGTGATTGTATCATCGTCTGAGGCCATGCGAGTCATGCCGGACGATACAAGGAAAGGAATGTCGGGGTCCATCAGGTTGACAAAGCCAGGATGTATTCCGGTTCCTATCTCAGGAGATTGAGAGGAAGATTTGACTCTCCCCTTGCCCTTCTTTGCAGCGAGATGTTGGAACGACGCGAGAGGGTTGCTAGAGGAAGTGGAATGTTGACGCAGAGAAAAGTGTGAAGTCTGAGGTTCGCTGATGATGCAACTGCCAATGGGTTGACCGACGGCCGCAGCAGCTGGCACATTGTTCAGAGGAATGGAAACGTCGGGGATGCCAGGCAAATTTGGGCCACGCAAAACCAAACTCAGTCGCGGACCAGACAGGGGCTCGGAAGTGCTTGACGGGTCAACGGTTGGAGTGGTGCCAGGAGGCGGTATTTCTAAATCTGTTTGGACGTTAAGCGATGTTAGTAATGAAAATTCAATAAACTTGATATATTTTCAGAACATTCTATTTAACAGATACATTTCTGAAATGTTATGTTTACCTGGATTTATATTCTTCCAAGTCTCGACAAATTTCAACTTATTGTAACGTTAGGCACAATATCGCTCTCTCATCAGTATATGCACCAATACCCACCTTGAGTTTGGTGAACATTCACACGACCAGGCCTGGGATCGAAAGCAGGAATGAGGCACGAGAAGGTTCTCTTGATGACGTGATCATCGTCCCAGCCTCGTCGGCGGCCTGACATGCCAACACCGCGGCTGCCCCCGACGTTAGCACCGCCACCGCTGGCAAGGCTCACACCACCGCGCACCTCATAACAATCGTCGTCATCGTCGACATAATCATCTTCATCATCGTCGTCTTCATTATCGTCTTCATCGTTGTCATCATCGTCATGCTCCGGCATCTCATCGTCAGTTAGTTCTGCTAGGAGCGTGCTGGCCCGACACGATTCAAGGAAGTCCTAAAAAGATGAGAGAAATTTAACCATCATGCTTTTGATCATTTAATTCAAGAATCAAATGTTCAGTACATTCTATGATACATTAACTTTCAAACTATTGCATTTTTGAACCAACGAAATTACGTAACAGTATAGATTAACTCTAACTACGGCATTTCTAGCACTGAAATTACAATAATTTCGAACGGCCACCAATTGAGTCGAAGGTAAAGCCCACTCACCTCAAGGCTGACCTGCTCGCTCTCGCTGGAGGTAGAAGTAAGACTCATAGTCAAGCCGTGAGACAAGGACGCATGGTTGCCAGCCATGGCTGCTGAACTGACAGAACTACCAGCTCCTCCTGCCGTCGTGGTTGCAGAAGAATAGTGATAGGCCGACGCAGTTTGCTGCTGATTGCTGCTGTTGCAAGCTTAGGAAATGAAGATAAAGCTTCATTAATTTCTAAATACTCATGTTGACTAGTACAGCTGAGATACATGCTGAATAATAAAGCCTGAACGGGGTCCAGTATGAGATTATGAGCAGAAAAAAAAAGACTTAAACCATGGTCTCTACCTCCACGGTTATAATTTTTGTGAAGCATCCTCACCGCATGAACAAAAAAAATCTCGCACACCAAATTTTGCATTCAATACCTACTATCTAATTGTGAATATAATGATATAGGTAATGCACAGCAGCAACATTTACATTCAATACACGTGTCAAGTTTATCAATTTATTCCTTGCGCTCCTTTGCAAACTACATTTCCCTATGGTTAGGGTACACCCCATGCTGGGCTATATAAGCTCACAAGTTTTGACAGATGAAATAATGTTGGCTTATTACTTATTATTACCAGAGACTAGAGAGCTCGGCGACGTGAGTGCCGTAGAGAGCCCAGCAGTAAGGCCACCAAGTCCTCCACTAAGGCCACTGCCCACACCACCAAGACCTCCAAGGCCTCCTAAGCTGCTGAGGCCAGTATTTAGACCAGCACTGAGGCTACTTAGGCTACCCAAGCCTCCACTAAGACTCGCTAGGCCAGAGGAAATAGACGACAGAGAGGCGGGAGGTGCTGTCGTGGACGAGTTCCCACTTGATGAGCCTGAGTCATTAGACGCTAAAGTCAAGCCTTGTTTGCATTTAAACTACCATCAAAGAATGTTCGCATTAAAAATTAATGCAGAGCTTACAACCTATTATCTTCGGGTATACGATGCTACAAACAAGATAAATCAAGTAAAATGTTAGTGAAATTATTTAAATAAATTTAAGGCAAATACGTCCCTAGGTTGCTCGTCTAAACGGAACAGGAGAAATTTCTGTAATATCTAGAGTTCAAAAATTATATTTAAAGCTCGTGCATCAACTGAATAAGTATAAGCAAGTCCAGGTGTTTTAAAAGTAAAATTCCATGAAATTCCAAGAAACTATTCAATTTAATATACTTTCAAAATATGAGAGGAAACTCACCAGGCAAGTGAGAGGAGAGCGCCAAACGCACAAGGCTGGACACCGAGTGGTGCGTGTTGGAGCCAAACAGTCCTCCTACGCCAGAAGCAGCGCCTGAAGATGCGGCTGACGACACTCCGCTGCTGCTCAATTGATTGTTGGACGGTCCAGCAAAGAGAGAGGAGGAAGAAGCCATGGAGCTGCTGCCGCCAATGCCTGCAATGTTGGACAGGTTTGACGAGAGGCTAGCAGGCATAGTGCCAATGTTGGGTGCGAGACTAGAAATATTGGCGATGTTGGCGGCAGATGCGGATGATAAGGGTGGGTTGTTTTGGTTGTTGGCTCGCCTAGATGCAGCGGCCGCGAAACTCTCCAAAAGGTGATGAGTGAGGGAAGCCACGCTTGTAGGAAGATTAGGTTCGCTCACACTCATCGGACCTTTGCTGTTATTGGTGCCGGACTGCGAGCTTGTCTTAGCCTGAGAGGATCCACTTTTCGATGAAGGTTCGTTTCCAAGAACTTGAGAGGCGGCGTCAGCAAGACTCTGGTTGGACTGCGCCATCAAGTGGGATACGGAGGACAAGTCAAGAGAGCCCTGAGGCTCATTAAGTGATGGCAAAGACCGTTGTGGAAGCGCTGGAGGGACAGGGGACAGAAGCGACGACAGTTCCATCACCTCCAAGTTGTCTGAGAGCGAAGATGGAGGCAGAGAGTGAGCAGAGGTCGTAGAGGTGGTGGAAGATTGCGACTGAAGGCGAGACAGAGATTGGGAGTGCACACGACTGGATGGCAGCTGCTGCTGGGGTGCTGCCGCCGAAAGACGGCTCGAGACCTGTAACACAGTTCAAAAACTTTGTTATAGAAAATTGATGAAAATATATAAATCAGAAAATTATATTCACGAAGTATTTCACCTAAATTCATAGAAATAAAAAATAAACAATAGCTAAAATAAAATTTGATAGAATAGATCAAATAGTGATAGATATTGAGACTTTTCATTCATCACAGTATATTCAGATTGATGTATACAAAATAGAGCTAATCAAATGCAAATACCGTCAAGTTCAAAGCTCAGACGCACCTGAGAGAAAGAAGATCCTTGTAAAGCCTCGCTTAGGCCAGCGACGGCATCAAGTGCAGCATCTCCGAAGGCGAGTGAAGACACAAGCGATGCAAGCTTGTCGTCAAGAGAAACTCGGTTTGCGGTATCACCGCTCGCCCCAAGAAGAGCCTCGGCGCTGGCTACGTTAACGACGCTCTCCGCTATGGCTTCAGCGGCTTGCTTAACGGACAGATTGTCATCAGAGACAGCCTGCTCGGCGACACTTGAATCTGAAGTTTTATCAGCAGTTGCTTGAGGTAACGACGGTGTCGAGGAACACTTACGACTCGTTAACACGCTGTTGCTGCTCGAGTTAGCGCCCACAATGGCTGCATCACTGATGCTTGCCATCACAGCTGAGACGACTGCACTGGCGGTAGTGGCAGCAGCAGATGACTGCTGTAGTGACGCCAATGTGGTTTCATAGCCTGGGGCAAGCTTAAGATCGTACTTGCCACCTTCAGATCCCATGCGGTAGCTGTTAGAGGCGCCGTGGTCCCACGTGACGTCGATCCAGCCGTTGTGCAGCTCCCCTGTGATTGTGCCTTCACCAGGAGGAGACCCGTCCTGATCTCGCCACTTCCAGTCGATGCCTCGGACAACTCGGGCCCCGACCACCATTTTTTTCAGCATCTGGTATCAGTGTTAACATTTAGTGAAATTAAAATGGCATTGTCAATATTTATAATGCAGTTACAAAACACATAAATTAATTTAGAATTATATTCGTGTATTTCGATATATATTCAGACACTATAGTATTTTCGTTCATTCAACTGATTAAATAAAAATAATTATTCATCAGAAGAAGCCATAGGCGACTTTCTCTGATTTAAATACTCAAGTAAAGCCACTATTTGAAATATTGCTTTTTGTCAACAAACCGCCAAGTTATTAGATTCTAATTGGAGATTTTCAGCAAAATAATCACCTGTTGCTTTACGAGACGCCTCTGTTTGCGTAGAGCAGCCTCAGCCTCCTTAGCTTGTTTGCCAAGCTCGACACAGGCTCCCGTGACACAGCCATAGACTTCCAGACCAGACAACGAGAGGTAGTGCGTCTGGCCGGACGAATTCTTGCCGCTTTGCTGCACTCTGATGTGACGGTATCCCATCTGAAATAAATTACAAAAAGCATCGAAATTAGCTAGCGCGAACAAAAAACTACTGACATGATTTCAAATATTTAGGTTAATTTACAGATGATTTCCAGGAAAAACTTAAGACGAACTCTACAAAATATCATAGTGAATTGAGAGCGAGTTTGAAAAGATTCTATAGGAAGACGAACCTTCTCATCAGCTGGACACTTGACACTCCATGTGTGGGTGCTGCCGGGCTCATTGAGGCTTGTGTCATCCACGTGATGACTGAGAGTTACCCATAGAGTGCCATCCTTGCTAGCCTGCAGTACGCAAAACACATTAGTAAGGCAAGCCAGCCTAGATTGATAAAATGATACTCTAAATTTATCGAATGCATGAATGGAATCGGTACCTCCAGATACATCAAGGTTCCAGATTGTCAAGGTTCAAATTACCCAGATTGTGATTAAATCTCTGAGTAATTTTGAACAATTCAAATGTATGGAACTATTCAAGTTTAGCTAGCAACGAGTCTTTCATAATGGCAAAGGCTGGCGTAGCTTCAGCTTATTCAAGAAATAAAACACCATGGCTACCCTTCTGACCTGGAACATCCAGTTCCTAACGGCAGACCTGCCGTAGCCCCGAGCATGTCGGAGGGTGTAGGCAGAAGGCAGGAACCAGAGCCCCAGGTCTATAGAAAACCATGCCCTCTTGTCGTCGTTTGTATGACAATTGAGAGCAGAAGCGTCGCGGCTGAGAATGTCCTCGAGGCGTCCGTAAGGCAGGTTGCGGCCGTCGCTTGATGTCACCATCACCAGACCGACCGAAGCAGGGTTCACCCACTCATACGAGGTCCTTCAAAAATTGATAGCTTTAGTTCATCCTTTCTTTAGATATTAACCAAATGAGGGCTTCGAATAAATTCCAGTACCGCTACGATAACAATCAATAGCGGAGTGAGTAATGAGTCAATCAATAATGGCACACCTTAACACGTTGACTACGATTGCTTCATCTTGTACTATTATTTCATTTTTTGTACTGTTTTTAAACAGGATTGCCAGACGGTTATTTTTTTCGGATAAATTCCGTGATTTAGTTTACACCAATTGCGTTGGCCGGCTAAAATGTATGATAGGAGTACTTCCTAATTAAATTTCAAGTACTGGAAAAAGAAAATAAATGGAATTTTTATATCGGAACCTACAAATAAACTAGTATATATTGGGTTATCAGCCTTTTTTGTTCTCGGATTTGGCCGATTTTAGGCAACCTGAATTATGCACCACTTCGTCCTGGAGAAATACATTTCGTGGTACGCATATGTACCACTTCGGAGTCAACGTGTTAAGAACCTTAAGTCCCCACAGTTAATACGTGCTAGGAGTGCATTTAGGGACATGACCCCAGGATATGCTGCAAGCACCACCTTCCACGCTAAACAAGCGTCAACCACCAGTGACACCTAAAATTGCACTGAGCTTCCCAAGGCTAGAATTTACCGCCAGCTGCTCTCAGCTCGATGCCTCTACCATTGAGCAGACCGGGACGCTACCCACTGCGTTACAGTGGCACTACAAACCAAATCTGATATTCATCCCATAAAGCCTGCAGCTGGTAAAATATATGCGATCAACTCATTGGAGTTTTAGAACATAGCTTGCGTGCGGTATACTGTAATTGCGGCTCCATACACTTGTAATAGTTATTCAACTCAGGCGCAAGCCAAAGTAAATCTCACTTGGCATTGGAGCCGATCCAATAGAAGAGGCCATTTTCATCAAAATCAGAGACATAATTAAAGTTGAGTCGCGGCGTCTCCTTAATTTTCTTGATGTAAGTGAAACTTGTTCGGTCGAGGTCGTACCACTGTTTGGCCACCATTTTAAGTAGGTAACGCTCCAGTTGCTCAACTGTGGCCAACGGTTCCATCTAGAAAGCAAAAATAATATTAACTGAACAGTTTCCACATATAAACACAGAGGATTCCGGTAAAGGCAGAAATACTGAATGGAAACCTGCTTAGAAACTAGAGTTACTAGACGATATAAAAACCAGACGGAGACAATCGTGTCATCAAGTTGTTGAGCCACAGCCCTGAATTTAATTAAACCTAACTAAATGCATTAAAAAATTAACCAGAGAATATTTGCAAGGAATTATTACCTTGAGGGTGCGTCCTGTGCGATCGATGAGGCCATGTTCACCTGGCGCTCTTTCTAATCTGAATCTGAGTTTCCTGGTGAGAGCTATAAGGCCATTATTTATTCCAGGACTGTCATAGGTGAACATGGGAAGCTTCTCGCAGCTTTCCAACACAGAAATAAGGTGCCGTACAAGCTGGGTACCAGGGCTAACTTTGGTACCATTATTGCGGACCGTTCCTGAAGTCTCACTAGCGGAGTTTGATTTCGAGCCTAAGTTGGCTTCATTCAATGAAAGTCCTACTTCTACGTTGGCAGAATTAGATTTGGCGATAGAGGATGCAACTTCGTCATCCTCAACTGAGTTTGCGGAATTAGCACTTGGGAGTGAAGTGATCGAATTGATGGTATTGTTCAACGAATCCGGAGAAGTGTCATTCACCAAGTTTTGTAAAGTGCTTTCCTGCACGTGATCCTGTAAGTAAGAGAAAAATTTTAGAACAGGAAGCTAGGAACGAAAAATAATTTCTTAGGAATACTCATCTTAAAAATAAATCTAAATAAGATTCAGAGAAACAACAATTCAGAGAGATTGAAATTAATAACTCAGAAAGTAAGTAAGGGCAATTATGACACTGGTTTCTGAGAAAAAAAAACGCAGTAAATATTTCGTTGCTTTTCGTTTGGCACAAGAAACTAAAAATGGAATGAAATAATTAATTGCGGCTTTAAGATTAAGACAACGCACGGCAAAGCATTTCTGGAAAATGTTCCTTCGCTGCTTGAGAAGTTTGTTGGCTCTGCGGGCAGATAGAGCTGTGGAGACGACTTTGTTTTCCTTGATGCTGTTGTCACGATTGTTGTCCGATGTCGGAGTAGACGCCGGCAAGGCGCCAGTCTGAGAGAAATCATAGACGGTGTGTTGGGGCATAACTTCCTGCAATGCCAAAAACTCCAGTTGAGCCAATGGAGAAGAATTATGACAATTTAAATCAAATAAACAATACAGGAAAACAAGATGCAAGGCTATAATGATTACGAGTTCGAAAATCATAGTGTGCTTATTTCTCCAGAATCGCATAAGTATCAGAATCCTTTCTAGCAAAATTACCAGAATCGGACACTATTGCGTCTAATCCTCAGGAGCATCGGGACCTCACCTGATATGGTGCAAGCAGCAGCAGCAGTGCAGGCACAATGCCTGACGACTCCAGCTCATACGCTGACACTGTGTTAGTTGTGGCGGTCAGGAGCTCTGCCAGCTCACGCAAGGCCGTAGTCAGCAGCTCCTGCCATTCGGTGCCACTGCTGCTGCCGCGCTTCGAACTTGCCTGATGAAGCAATAGTTCAAATTTTACAAGCGAAATTAACTATGTAGGCATTGATAGCGGCACCGACTGCAAGAACATGCCTCACATACAACATCAGATACAACAGCATTTATAAAAAGATATACAATGATTGCTTTTCTGTTCCAAGAGAAGAGAAACCAGTTTATGCCAACTGATAATAAATCGGTTTAAATATTGCAAAGTTAAAGCATTTAGCGTTATAGAAATTAAACAGATAGGATGCCATCCAAACAATTTGAAGATAAAAACGTAAGCTCTTTACACCCCGCATGTGCTGGTAAGAGGTATAATTCAAGAGAAAAACGTAAGCTTTATACACTCTGCATGCGTTGGTAAAAGGTATTATTCAAGAGAAAAAGGTACCTGTTTCTGACACGCTTTATTGATGACGCTAACAATGTTGTTAAGTTTAGCAACGACCCCGCGAGGAGAGGTCTGTGCAGCCTTAAGATATTTCTCATACACAATTTCCGCCTCACTGCGCAGCTTTTGTTTCACAGCAGCCAACTTGTTGCGGTACCTGCAAGTAAAGATCAAGTATTTATCTTTCCGATGAATAGCGCCGATGAACGCACTTTTCAATGATTGTGGGCATATGAAGTTTAAAAATATTTGTATTTGTTTAATGTCAAATCTGCATAAACGTGCGCACCAAAAATCACTTTAAGATATTTTAGATTTTCATTAAAAAAAAATGCAAAAATTTACCTCTTTCTACGTCGTTCAGTCCAGCCAGTGTGGAACTCGGGGCCCAGTGACGTCTCAGCGGTGAAGGAATGTTTGGTGTTGCGGTTACTTTCAAATATAAACCCTGGTAAATCTTCTCGCAGGATGGTTGCTTGTTGCTGCCCGTCTGAGTTCTGGATGTGCAGCTCACCCTCCTAGAACAATACAATAAGAATAAGTTTTTTACTTGGAAGAGGCAACGAGGCCTCGAGTTTATGGATTTCCAACGAGGCAATTTGCCCATCCATGAACAGCGAGCGATCGGTGAGGTAATGCAGTAGTTTATCAACAAGAATTTATAATGAAAGGAAATTTACCATATTTTCAATGTAAACGTTTTACTAAATAGTGAATTTATTTGGCGCATTCCTTGCTTTTTAAATTCCTGTTGATCTTGCGATATAAGCAGACTAATGATATGAGTAGTTTATGAAGGAATTGAAAGACTGACCTTTTTGCATTGCAGCGCCCAGTTGCCCACTGTTATGGTGTGGTCAGAGGGCGACGACAGGATGGGCTGACTGGCCGTGCCAGGCCCCACCCCACATTTTGCTCTGGACAATTTCTCCACAAACTCGCTTCGATTCTCTGAAAATGATTCCCAATAGGTGAGACACTGACATTGTGCCTAACGAGATTAGACGTTAACGAGTACCATACAATCGAAATGATACGATATATTTAATAATCATAAGTAATTTCATTCAATATCAAATTTCACTTAATTTTTTTACCACATTAAACCTAATAATTATGCTGGAGTATTTAAAATTGACGCATACAAAGTTTGATCTTATAACGATAAAATAAACTTCTCAAGTCAAACCCATTTAATCATCTGAAGATTATTCCTGACACTAACATTAAGGCTAGAATACGATTCGTCTTATTACACTCAGAAGACGAATGGGTAGTTTTGTTTAAATAATGACACTCTTTCTGCACAATAACGAGCCTTTTTGCCGGACCAAACTAGCTCAGGATGATTCAAGCAAGGGCAAAAAGTGCACAACTATTCGAACAAAGTCACGCTTATTTCTCGGAGTGCAGTAGCCTGTGATATTATACTTCTCACCTGTACTCTCAGATCCGCCTTCTGGGCTCCCAGAAGAATACATGGTAGACAGTTTACCATCGAGGATGAATCTGCAGAACAAAATTAGGCGCGAGTCCAAAAATGTGGCAATGCTGTACAATACAATACACTCCAATACTTCTAGAGTGAGTGTGCTCCGCAAGTATATATAATAGTCATCGATTTTTCAATTTAAATTTTAAAATTTGCACAATCGAGCACAGCTCAGAATTAAAGATTTGTCTCGTGTATGACGTTGCGAAGTGAATAATGCAGCACAGCCATACTACGCTCTGCACTGGCGATTTAATCAGCTTTATAAAAGTAATTTAAATTCACTTTTCACCAAAATTTCTAGATCAACCACTTGATTGTTGTCTCGCAACATCAACCTAAGAGAGAAACTCGGTACACATAACTCGCTTAGTGAGATGCAAATTCCAGTATTTTCGTCAACATGCAAAACCTTATTAATTTATCGTTGTGATTTATTGCTTGTTGCGTAAGTGTGAGCACCTGAACCACCCATTGCTGCCGTTGCTGAGCTCGAGGGCAGCAGCATCGCTCCAGATGTAGAGGCAGTCACGACCTCGCGCTATGCACCAGTCGCGCCAGTGGTACGCGTTGCCACACAAGATTTCCTTCGCCTCTTGGTTGCTGCTCTGGCCTTCACAAGAACCTCCAGCTTCCGAACCCTTTCAAGGATAAAGAGAAACAGTTTATTTCGAGTTTTTGCTATGACAATAACATACTAAGGGATCGTTCACATTGAATGTATAATCTCACATCGGAGCCTGACGTTGAAAAAATGATCGTGCCTATTTTAGAGTTAACTGTCAAAGAAAACAAATAAGATTATAGCATTGTCTTCCTTTATGAAGTTAATTCTTTTTCGTTGTAACCCAACTTTTATCTGTTGATTGAATTCATACTTTAAAGAAAATAATCAACTACAGTTCACGAATAAATTAAAATACAAACAATTCAACATTTAAATTTTAAACTCGTTGAGGCTCATGAACCAGCATGGCGAAAGCGTGATGCTTCACTTTAACAAAGTTACCTCGTCAAAGTCATCATGATGAAGTCAGCATATGGTCATAATAAACATGATAATGTCACCACAAAATGTCATGATAAACATGACAAAATCACCAAATTGTCATGATAAACATGACAAAATCACAAAATTGTAATCATAAACGTGATAAAGTCACCTTATCCAAGTCATCTTCTTCGTGTCCCGTCATAACAGGCCCAGCTAGCTGGGCAACCTTGGAAACCAAGCCCAGTCTGGCGCAGTGATCCAGGAGCCCCGGACCAGCTTTACTGAGGCCGTCCTGTAGCATCTGTAGGCCGATGAGCTGTGCTGATTCATCTTCTTCGCTGCTCAGCACGCTACTCATAACCTCAACTAGTGTCGGGGCCAGCGATCCCTTCTCACACAACTGCAAGAGAAAATAAGAACCGTGACTATAAATCGAGTTCACTCACATTTTGAGATTTGCAATAATTATCTTTGCTTCTGAGTACCTGTATATTATAAAATAAATACTACTGACGACTCCCAAAACTTAATTAGAAATTAAAAGCTGTAGATTAATTTGAATATAGCCACACTTAAGGAGCTTCTGACGAAGTTACGTTCAGAAAATGCATATCGCCAACAAAAATTTCAAAGATTAGTTTGATGGAAGAGCAACTTACTTGAGTAAGTAATGGCGCTGGGATATAATGAAGTATTTTCCTGAGCAGCGACAATGCTGCTCTCCTGACAGAGTGAACCATGCTGCTCTGATATGTGTGGCAGAACATGGGTAGCAGACGCCGTAGGTATATAGGAGCCATTTCTGCATCGCCTTTCAAGCCTGAGGCATCGGCGGTGATGGTGGTTCGGGGTGACGCGGTAGCGGTGTCGATGGTGGACGAGATGGAGGATGAAGAGGGGAATGTTATGGGCGTGATGCTGGATGAGGGATCGTCAATGGAGCCTGGAGCCGACCGAGATGGGGCGGGTCTAGACGAGGAACTTGTGGGTGCAGGGTTTGATGCCAATGAATCAGCGTCCATACTGATACCCTCCTGAAGAAGGTAAATACAATCAAGAAAATGATAATGACAAATTATATTCAAAATAAACAAATCTGAATAGGCAACTACACAAGATAAGTAGGCAAATTATTTGTATTTAATTGGAAGGAACTATGAACATGGCAAGCTGGGCTACGTGACATTGTCTCAAAAATGACATTGATCATTTATCCAATAGACACAATCACGCTTTGAAGACGCCATACAACAGTGAAAATATCCAAGATTAAATGAACAATTGATTAGGAAAAAAATAGTAACAAAAATAGTTAGATACGAAGGAATACAAAAACTTGTTAAACATGAGTTTCTTGAAATACAAGTCAGACACACACTCCAAGAAAATTATGAAGTGGATTTTCTAATAACGATATGTAGGAAATAATTCAAAAACTAACTAGTCAACTCACAGATATACTTAAAGCGAGCGCAACGTCCGATGCATTGGAGTCACTGGATGTTGCACAAATTGACGGTAAAGAAGAGGTAGCTACAACAGTTGGGTGTTGGACAGAACTCGAGTTCGCGGTGGACGAAGCCGAGTCGCCCGAGGAGACCACAGCAGCGGCAGCGGTAGTGGAAGCAACAACTTCGCCGCTGGAAGAGGCTGTAGCTGCTGGGTTGATAGAAGCACCGGCATCAATGGACGATCCAGGAGGAAGCATGAGGAGAAAATCACTGGGACTTTGGAGGATGGTGGCAACTTCCCGGTGTCCCTCATCGTTTCGCTCGCGAGCTTTGTCAAGGGCAGTCTTGCCGTCCTCGTCCCGGAGGTCGGGGTTGGCGCCGTGCCGGAGGAGTACCTTAGCGATGGCAGGGCGGCCGAAGCAAGCAGCATAATGGAGAGAGGAGGAACGTTGACCTGCGCAGTACATTATTCTATTATAGTACGCGTCTTGTATCAAATCTATACGCGAATCGCGAGGGCAGTGGTATAACTTCTGCAGCACTTTCGTTCACTTAGCCATGCAAACTTAGCAACTTTCTTTGTAAATTACCGAAACTCCCAAATACAGCCAATAACACAAACCACGTTATAACTTGGGCAATGGAACAAATAAAAAAATAAAATATAATTAGCCAAGAAATCAAGCAACTCCCCCTTGCCTCATTACTATCAATGAAAATAGCAGCAATAATTTCAGAAATGAAAAAATTCAACACTTTCCGTCAATCGCTTGTTAGAAAATTAAGTAGAATATCAAAGAAATGCCCAGCTTAATTTATTTAACATTTTGCTCATCACTGGGGCACTACTTCAATGCCAGAAAAATGAACTACTTAAATTGATTCGACAATTATGAACTCAGACATCACTTTGCTTCAACATCAGAGAAATGCACAGTTAAATTAACAGAAGTGACATAGGTACCTTTATTGACGTCAGCGCCGCGTTCACACAGGAACGAGACCATTTCCTGGGTCCCGAATGCTGAGGCCCAATTTAGCAGAGTTTGGCCAACGTCGTCCATAAAATTTACTTCGAAACCGCCACTGTAACATCAACAAAATAGAATAAAATATTATGGAAATATACGCTCAAATATACGGCAGTAATAACTGGATACCGTCACATTTTAGAACGCATTTAAGACAGACATTGGCGATTTTGCGATAAGAAAAATCTAAATCCATTAATTGATTCAAAAGTTAACATAATGGTATAACCATAAGTTGAGAAGAACTTATATTACCCAGATGAGATGGGACCTGCTGATTAAAAAATACAAAATACGTTAATACATGATAAAAATGATAAAAAGCAAATCACCTGCTGATAGCGTCTATGAGGGCATCGGTGTCTTTACTCCTGATACAGTCGATGAGCTGACGATGAGTCTTCTCTCCCGCGCTGTCCAGACGTCGTGCCGCCCTGCTGCTGCTGCTGCTGATCGACGCTGCCATGCCACTGCTCGCACCGCCGCTGCTGCCTGTGGTGCAAGTGTAAAGTGATGCCTCAATTCAACAAACTGGAGCATTAACGAGCTAAATAAAAAAATATAACTCAGTACTCACTGCAGTGAGTGACAGAGAACGCATTTTCTCGTCGACGAAAACGTGAAGTCACGGACAGACAGACATGACGAGCACAATAGCACTTTTTTCCATAAACGAGAAAATGCGTTAAGAATGAATAGGAAATAACAATAGAAAAATGAGCGAAAGATTATTTCGATTCCTGTAATAAATCTGTTATACCGGCTTAAGAAATGTACACCCAAGTAATGTCCTATTGTCCTGCAGCTTAGCCGCTAGAGTCTGATCAAAGTTCATGTCATTGCACCTACCCAAGTAAAGTCGACTTGACGCATACTTTACTTCAGTTAAGTGCGGTTATCCTGTTCTGTTCTAAATAAAGAGAGCATATGGGATTGGTTGCTTGAAAACCATGGCTCAATGAAATCAATAAACGTCAGTAAGCGGAGCAAAATTGCAATACAAAGAAAAGACCGTCAGAGAGATCGGCGAATGAGCTTCGTCCACCTGACCTTCCCCTGGCAGAGCAGCACCAGCAGCAGAGGCGTGACTGAGGGCAACACTGACCTGGCGTAAGGGCAGTGGCAGGTCTTTGAGGGCACAGCGTCCCTCACAGAGCAGCACCAGCAGCAGGTGCGTGACTGAGGGCAACACTGACCTGGCGTAGGGGCAGTGGCAGGTCTGGTGAGGGCAGAGCGTCCCTCGCAGGCGTGACTGAGGGCAACACTGACCTGGCGTAGGGGCAGTGGCAGGTCTGGTGAGGGCAGATCGTCCCTCACAGAGCAGCACCAACAGCAGGTCAGTCAGACGCATGGTGTCCAGCACGACGCGCTCCTCGCCGGTCAGCGCGCGCTCTATGGCGTTCAAAAGCTCGCCTCGCACAACGCGCTGTCGGATATACAGTATTGGTTATCTCAGTGTCTCGTCACATTAAAAACGTGTCAATTCTTTCCTATAATAAGTGAAATATGGGTAATCTCAGGGCCTCGTTACATTAAAAACGTGGTAATTCTTTCCTACAATAATTACAATATGGGTCATCTCAATGGCTCGTCACATTAAAAACGTGTTTATTTCTTCCTAGAATAAGTGCAATATGGGCAATCTCAGCACTTCGTCTCAATCAAAACATATTAATTCATTCATAAATAATTACAATATGGCTCATCTCAGTGCCTCGTCAACTTCAAAACATGGTATTTCATTCATCCAAAAAGTACAATATGGGTCATCTCAGCACTTTGCAACATTAAATCATGACAAAAACCTTCATTGAAAGGCTGAAACTTCCGTTTTCATGCCTTTAGAAAGTGACAGCACTCTTATATCATTTGTTATGCTCTCGACAAGCGCCCCAACCAACCCATCATATTCATGGGCACTGCGCTGAAGTGCCGTCGAGTCAGGTGAAGGTAAGAATGAGTCAGTTGAAGCACCTGAGTTATGATAGACGAGCCTCTGCAGAGGGTAGACAGCAGCGAGATGACCGTGGCAATGGACGCCGCTGCCACTTTGCTGGCTGAAGACCCACCACCGCCGCCACCGCCGCCACCTCCTGCAGCACCAGCGGATGTCGAGGCGTCAGGGTCTTGACTTGTGGACACCTCCTCTGTGAACAACAATTATGCGAATAATTATTTAACAAAGCAATACCGTAGATTTTATTTTTATTAATAAATAAGTGAAAAATCATGAACAGAAGAGAGTTCCTCTCCTCATAAAAGCATGTACAAGAAAATGAGCTGATCAAATCAAAAAGTACGCTATGCAAAGCACTAAGTGCCAGAGCAAAGCAGCCTCAACAAAAAAAAAAATTTCGTGTAGAGATACATACAAATGATTCAATTTTTCAAACATCCTCGAGTCTCGCGCCCGCAAGCTTCATTGACGAGAATCAGTTACCTGTGCTGGCGTCTTTAGACGGAGCCCCGGCAGCAGCCAGCTTCCTGAGGAGGTGCTGCAGGAGGTTGTTTGTTGCAAGAGGCACAGGGTCCTGACCACGGCGCGTGAAGCGGTCGGCGAGGGAGGCGAAGCAGCGAAGAGCGCACTCAGAGACCGTGGGGTCCTGCGCGAGCAGATATGAATTATTTCGTACCTCAGATGAGCCTATTGTAGAAATTTTAATACTTGATTAGGGGTCTCGAATGTGCTCAATCCATTGTGTATCAGGAATACTTCGTACATTACAGTCTACGATGACTCAAAATCCACTAATTCTAAACCCCAAATCTAAATACTTAGCTGAATTCAACACAATTATCAATTTATGAATATTATAACATATCAAGAGTGAAGCACTCACGTTTATCTGAATTGAACACAATATTAAATTTATTAATATTAGCTTATGAATAGTATAACATATCAAGAGTGAAGCACTCACGTCATGAGCAAGGAGGGTAGACAGGCTTACGACGCAGCTACACAAGTTGGGGTCAGCTGGCTCCATTTTGGCACAGAGTCGCGACACGACAGACATGGCAGAGTGGAGGGTGTCTTTGTGCACCTTGCTGCCGTTGTCTCGTATCAGTGATAACACACACGTCAGACCTCCAGCCTCGAACACAGCGCCCGCCTCCCGCGTGCATATCAACTCCAGCACCTGCAAGTAAATATGTATCAATTGTGTATCTATATCTCATGGATAGCTATTGTATCGCTACCAGGTATCTCATGGATAGCTATTGTATCGCTATCTCATGGATAGCTATTGTATCGCTACCCGGTATCTCATGGATAGCTATTGTATCGCTATCTCATGGATAGCTATTGCATCGCTACCCGGTATATCATGGATAGCTATTGTATCGCTATCTCATGGATAGCTATTGTATCGCTATCTCATGGATGGCTATTGTGTCGCTATCTCATGGATAACAAAAGCAATCTTGAAAGAAATAACTATCGGTGAGACTAAAAATTTTAGTGTTGTGCATTACTGACAATGATGCAGCAAGTGGGTGACAGGGCTTAAAAGGTTCAAATGAGGATCAAGAATTCTTGGCTCTGTAGAGCGGTGGCTCGAAACGAGTCAAGCACAACCAAAATACTGCTTAATATGTTTTTTTCTACTTAATTATAGTAAGTGAAATTTTAAGGCAAAATATATTTTTTTGGAAATTTTGAGCAACGAACATTCTATTATTACCTTCGCGTAGGTCACACAAATAAAGTTTTAATAATTATGTTTGCAATAATAATAAATAAGTTAGCAATAATTTCCACAATGGCTAGTCGAGTGCTTGGTAGCATATCAAATTCAAATAAACATTCCATATTTACGATATTTGAGTGCGTTCTAAGCACCAAGCACGGTGTAAGCGGATTAGGGTCAACGACCTAATTAACCCAGATGCACAATAATAGATTGTTGTCAAGTAGACGTAACAGTAAAAGTTTCAATAATACAACTTATTAATTCCAGTTTCTTGACGCAAAGGCACATCTCATTGGAAAATATTTTAAGGGAGCACTCAAGTTTCACTTTAACGCACAGGAATAGTTTGAGTTAGAATAATACGAGTATAACTAATTAATACCAATTTCATTGAATAACACGAGTACTATAACTACAATTAATTAGTACCAATTTTACGATACAAAAGCGCATATTTCTAAAACGGCATTTAGCAAAGAAGGCATTTAACAGGTCACCTTAATGCACTGCTCGGCAAGATCTTTGCTGGTGCGGCAGCTGGAGACATCAGCGACGACGAGCCTGGAGCAGATGGCTTTAAGCGCGCCCTCTTCAGCAGTGATGCGCCGCGTGCACTCGGAGGAGACGTCCAGGTAGTAGGTGATGGAGCGCGCGGTCACCTCCAGCACGTTGTCGGGGGCGCTCTCGTCAGTGAAGATGCGGCACAATGCAGGCAGGAACGTCCGAGGTGGGCATCTGAATACAAACATTTTGAAATAAAAGTTTCTTATTTCAAAATTCAGACATACATTTTTCTTATTTCAAAATTTAGATACAAGTTTTCCTTATTACAAGATTTAGATATAACTTTTTCTTATTTCGAAATTTAGATATAAATTTTTCTCATTTCAAAATTTAAATAGAGTTTTATGTGATTTAGATAGAACTTAAAATGATCACAATGTTCATGTATTTTAATATGTATTTTTATTTAGATACAATTTAGAATAATAGAAGTTCAGTCAAAGTTAAAGGGAAGTTAAAATTTCAAGTTAAGTTGCAGTGAAATTGACGAAGGCCATTTGATGATTGGCTGTAAGTACTTCAGTGACTGTAGCGAAGATCAAAAATAAAAAGCGATACTAATTATTCAGTCGCGATTTCGTGAAGCTGTATTCACAAGAACATTCTCATGTTGTCATATATACTAAACTGCATTCATGCAGTTGCTTGAACTTATGAATTAACGCACTAGTGAAGTTGCTTGAAACTCATGCGAACAAACGCAAATACATGGATCGTGCGATGATATGAGGTCAAAGGTTATAAGCAATCTAACGCTGCGACAAGCCTGCGCCAGCATTTCAGCGCAGTTTCTGAACACAACCTTGACGCGTTTACAGCGACTGTGACGCAAGTAGCAGTGGCTTGCAAGCGCAATGCTTACTAACCTCACAAGACGTACATTCCGCATGGATACAGCGGGCAAAACTCTTGAGAATACCAACAATTACCGAGAAATCGATCCAACACATTCTTGCTGGGCCTAATTCACACATTTTTAAATAAATATTGCAATTTTTATTACGTCACTCCAAAAACGTCGTAATAACATGTAAAATAATTCCAATACCCAGAAGCAAAAAAAAACTTACAACCCAAAAAAACGAGGTTTATTTATTAGCATAGTTGATACTATGAAGCAACACAAACCTATAAAGAGCTGCACGCTGCAAGTCCTGCAGCAGAAATATGGTGGCACTCTGCCAGGTGGCAACCACGACAGCCTGTATACATGGTGCTGAAGTGCAGCATACGTGAATTATACGTGGTGCTGAAGTACATACAGCGTATACATGGTGCTGAAGTGCAGCGCACGTGAATTATACATGGTGTTGATGTACATACAGCGTATACATGGTGCAGGAGTGCAGCGCACGTGAATTATACGTGGTGCTGAAGTACATACAGCGTATACGTGGTGCTGAAGTGCAGCATACGTGAATTATACATGGTGCTGAAGTACATACAGCGTATACATGGTGCAGAAGTGCAGCGTAAGCGTATACGTGGTGCTGAAGTACATACAGCGTATACATGGTGCTGAAGTACATACAGCGTATACGTGGTGCTGAAGTACATACAGCGTATACATAGTGCTGAAGTACATACAGCGTATACGTGGTGCTGAAGTGCAGCGTACGTGAATTATACATGGTGCTGAAGTACATACAACGTATACATGGTGCTGAAGTACATACAGCGTATACATGGTGCTGAAGTACATACAGCGTATACGTGGTGCTGAAGTACATACAGCCTGTATACATGGTGCTGAAGTGCAGCTTACGTCGTAAACACATCTACCTAACGAATTATACAAGCAAATGTAACTGAAAGCGACATGTTATAGTCATTAATGAGGTTTGAATCAAAAGCCATCTTTGAAAATGTAATTTAACGACAGATTAATTCCTCTTTATCAGGATCTCTTGCTGACTAATGAATTAGTTTTGAAAAGTTCGACAAATAACAGGAGTTTAAAAATTAAACTGAATTCATTCCCTTGTAGAAGAACACAATGGAATGCAATGGAAAAGTCGTAAATTAAAACGTTGGACATCATCCTTTGAAAAATTAAGAAGAAAAAGCAAAACAAAATACAATACTTCAGGGGGTAGTTTATCAAAATTCATTTAATGTCCCATGTGTGGAAGAGATCGCGGAAGCCAGAAAAAATGGCACGATCTCGAGGCCGAGTCTATGATGAGAGTAGAGTACGTGATTACTTACATGTAATATGTTCACTACGGGCAATATTAATATGTTTTATGTGTGCGCCGGTGCACACGTAAGTTACACATCACGGACACTAGCAATGAAGGCATGTAGAAGTGGACACTAGCACTGAATGACCCTGAACAATATCGAGCACGTGCAGTTTCTGGCAGATGTATACGAGGCTCAGCTTAGCCTACTATCTTTGGCCACAAACTGCAATATTTAGATGGGATTGTGTCGCTCAAAAATTCGGTGACAGAGCAGCTATGAAACGAAATCTTATAGCCATTGAAATATCAACGGAAAAATTGAACAAATACCGAGATCGAACAGAAATAAAATAAAATAACCTTAACTCGACCAGATGAATAGGATTAAAGATAATTTACATAGTATGTTCCAATGAAGGATTCGCCATAGTGAGCTAGAATTAGAGTAGGTAGATACTGTACATCAAGTAGATAAGGAACATATTAAGGTTTTAAAACCATGTAATAAGGGTTTTTCGGGCTTTTAAAACCAAAACCCATGGTTTTAAAACCATGGGTTTTGGAATGGCAACTTGACAGCGCGTTCTCGATGAATTATTGTGTCCGTCAACCTGTCTCATTCCCTCTACCGCCTAACATGAGAACCGTAGCAATATTGTCACAAGCCTACTTCCCAAAAAGGATACGTTCTCGTGAGCGCAATAGGACTTGCACTGATGGTTGCCGCCACGTACGACAACTTTAAATGTTTTCTGTTGGGTACAAACGTCCTCAGGTTGCTACACTTAATAGTTTACGTATAATTCAACTTGAAAGTTATGTTCCCGGAGAGTGACATACGGCGGTAGAGGGTTAAGTTGAAAGTTATGTTCCCGGAGAGTGACATACGGCGGTAGAGGGTTAAGGACACGTAAGCGACTGGAGCGCAGTGCTGCGTCAGGAAAGCTATGCACGTCACGGTAGTTTTCGCCGTCACTCATGGGAACTTTCCTTCTGGCTGCCATCGGCAGACCGTAAAGAGAGAGCGCACGAACATGGTATTTAGTAGCGATGGAATAGCCGGCTGCAGTCGAACTATTTAATACGAAAATATATTGACTCAACTATGAAGTGGTAACTTAACGACTGACTGAAGGAATTAAGGAATATATAGCGGGCTGCAGACGAACTATTTAATACGAGAATATATTGACTCAACTATGAAGTATTAACTTAATGACTGACTGAAGGATGGGATAGCAGGCTACAGTCGAACTATTTAATACGAGAATATATTCACTCAACTATGAAGTAATAACTTAACGACTGACTGAAGGATGGGATAGCAGGCTACAGTCGAACTATTTAATACGAGAATATATTATATAAAGTTGTACTGGCCGCCACTATAAAGTTGTATTGGCCGCCACTATAAAGTTGTACTGGCCGCCACTATAAAGTTGTACTGGCCGCCACTATTATCTCCGTATACAAGAACCTGATGCAAACGCTACGAAATTTTCAACACGTGACCGCCCCAAGACGAGGCCTGAAATAGCGCAGCTGCCTGCAAAACTAAACTTCTCTGCATACTAGACCTCTGCAGAGCATGGGGTTGTATAATAAACGAGTATATACAAAAGATAAAACACTACCATGCAGCAAATAAGTTCACTTTAATTGTAGGGGATATGTAAAGAGAAATGAAAAATATTTAGACTAATTCCTCACTCACTAAAAAGCCGACACCTTCAACAGGTCAAGATGTGAAGAATGCACTAGCAGCCAAGAAAAACCTCAATTACTGCTTCACTAACTACCATACTAAGACCTTTTGGTAAAATAGATTACACGCAACACTAGCATACTCGACAAAGCCCCACTAGTCACGACATTAGAATGCAGCAATGAGCAACAATATACTATTTATATACCGACGCAGCAAGTAATGGTAAGTAATTCTGCTTCGAACCCCTGAGGACTACGCTGCGTGCGGTGAAAGTGACGACTTAAGAACAAAGGAAGTAGCACGGCTCGCATCTTCAAGCAATTCACGACTGAATATCATTATAGTGACTTATAGTGACTAGGGGAAAAACACTCGCACTTTCAATTAATATCCATCAACACGTTATCAAAAGTGACAGTGAACTTAGGGTTTTCACTTTATTTGACGACAAAAAATACGTTAAAAGGCACATGATGAGCTTTGGGCATTAGTAACTGTAATGCATTTTTGTAATAAAGTATGGTTATCGAGAACATATATAACAATGGTTGTTATCTGGTTAGTGGTGACTGATCATGCGTCGAAGCGATAGCTGTCGGCCGCGAGACAAAGGAGTAGCCTCTAGTCTGGCGTCAAGTGCCGAACGAACGTCAAGTGCAACGAAAGTTACACAAAGCGAAACAGAATAGGTACCAAAACGAACTACATAGTAAGTAATAATTAATGGTAATAATCAAAAGGTACAGTGAGTAATAATCAATGGCAATGATCAAAAGGCGAATCAAAGTAAATGATTGACGGCGACTTATGGCAACGAGAGCACTTTTCAATTGCTGAACATTATAACTTATTAAGCAAATAAGATTAAATTTTTACTTTATTTGTCGTTAGTATTCGTATAGCAACTAAAGCACAACGATGGTCCAGATAATGTCCCGGCTGGGTCGAAGTTGTAAAGGTCAGTTCATGCATGAGAAGAACGCTGCCGGTGACCGACCTCTCAGGGAAATATAGTCTGTTTGGCTGATCGTTATGTTATTCCAGAACAAGGGATAAGCTTTCTTATTCGCAGTAAATCATATAGTTAAGTTTACTACGTAACGTTAGTCGTTATACTATAAGGTTGACGATCAAAACAGCATTTACGATCAGTTTTAAATTTTCACAGAGAACGGGATTTTCTATGATGCGTAACTGAAGCAAGCAACAGCACAACAGTGTTTAGTCCTCGTTAGGATTCACAATCAAGCTTGTCTTCAGTATTATTATGTGTAAAT